TGCCGAGCTTCAGGCAAATGCTCGGAAGAGGGAGATTGAGCTTGAAACTCAGGCCAGGGAGGAGGCGGAGTCTCTGGGGAGGGATCGGCGGCCGGCACAGTCCCAGCCGGCAGCCAAGCGGGCCAAGCCCACTGATCCCAGACCCGGGAGCCAGAAGGGCCGCACTTGTGGGAAGTGCGGCAAGGGTCACGATGGCGTCTGTCGGGCAGGGTCTTGCTACAAATGTGGCAAGGAGGGGCATATGGCTAAGGACTGCCCCAAGGGATTTGCAGTGTGCTTCCACTGCAACCAGACTGGACACCGGAAGGCGGAGTGTCCACTGCTGCGCGGGGCATCTCAGGGGTCTGCTCCCGCCGCCATCAGAGCTGTTGCTACAGAGAGTCGGCCCGTGAAGGCCGAGGCACCGAGGGCTCGGGGGAGAGCCTTCCAGCTGACTGCGGAAGAGGTCCGCGCTGCACCCGACGTTGTGGCTGGTATGTTCCTTTTCATTATTTATTTATGGTGTTGAGATATTATGCTTATATTATGCTATGCATAGGTACCTTCCTTATGAATTATGTACCTGCTTTAGTGTTATTTGACTCGGGTGCGAGTCGATCTTTTGTGTCTTTGGCGTTTAGTCAGCGAATCAGTGTTAGTCGTGGGACATTGAGTCGGCCCCTGCGGGTTTCCATAGCCGCCGACAGGGTGATTCGTGCTACTGGGGTCTTCAGGGGATGTGTATTGGAGATATTCGGGGTTGAGTTTCCGATCGACCTGATTCCGATTGCGATGGGGGATGTCTGTGTTATAGTGGGCATGGATTGGTTGAGCCGATTCGGTGCGGTTATCGATTGCGAGCGACAGCTGGTGACTATACGAGATCCTAGTGGGGGAGTTCTTTCAGTATACGGAGAGGGTACACGTTCTGGATCAGCCTTTTGTTCGGCTGCTAGGGCGAGGCAGTGTTTACAGCAGGGTTGTAAGGGTTATGTAGCGTATGTGATGGATACGCGAGTGATCTCTGAGAGACCGGGCTCTGTGGATGAAGTTCCGGTAGTTCGGGAGTTTCCAGATGTATTTCCCGAAGAGTTACCAGGTGTGCCTCCCGTGAGGCAAGTGGAGTTTGGCATTGATTTGGTTCTTGGAGCCGCGCCTATTGCTAAGGTGCCGTATCGCCTTGCGCCTCCAGAGATGCAGGAGTTATCCTCGCAACTTCAGGAGTTGCTGGGGAAGGGGTTTATTCGGCCGAGTAGCTCGCCGTGGGGAGCACCCATCCTGTTTGTGAAGAAGAAGGATGGCTCGCATCGCATGTGTATTGATTATCGGGAATTGAATAAGCTGACGGTCAAGAACCGTTACCCGCTGCCGAGGATCGACAATTTATTCGATCAGCTACAGGGAGCGTCTTGGTTCTCCAAGATTGATTTGAGGTCGGGCTACCATCAGGTGAGAGTGCGGGACGAGGACGTCCAGAAGACAGCATTCAGGACTTGTTATGGGCATTATGAGTTTGTGGTGATGCCTTTTGGGCTCACCAATGCCCCGGCTGTGTTCATGGACCTCCTGAACACGGTATGTCGGCCGATGTTGGATCGGTCGGTGATTGTTTTTATTGATGACATTCTGGTATATTCGAGATCCAGAGAGCAGCACGAGGAGCATTTGAGGGAGGTGCTTGGGGTTTTGAGAGCGGAGAAACTTTACGCAAAGTTTTCCAAGTGTGATTTCTGGTTGCGGGAGGTCCAGTTCCTGGGACATCTCATTAACCAGAAAGGGATATTGGTCGATCCGGCCAAGGTTGACGCAGTGATGAGGTGGGAGGTGCCGAGATCACCTTCTGAGATCCGAAGTTTCCTTGGGTTGGCAGGGTATTACCGGAGGTTTATTAAGGATTTCTCCAAGATTGCGGTCCCACTCACCAGATTGACCCGGAAGGGTGTAGCATTTGCATGGGGTCCCGAGCAGCAGACCTCCTTTGAGACGCATCGCCAGAGGTTGTGTGAAGCTCCAGTATTAGCCCTTCTGGAAGGTATGGAAGGTTTTGTGGTATTCTGTGATGCATCGATCCTAGGATTGGGAGCGGTATTGATGCAGAAGGGTCATGTGATAGCCTATGCATCGAGGCAGTTGAAGCCTCACGAGACGAGGTACCCCACACATGATTTGGAGTTGGGGGCAGTAGTGTTCGCCCTCAAGATTTGGCGGCACTACTTGTATGGGGTTCGTTGTACGATTTACACGGACCACAAGAGTTTGAAGTACTTGATGGATCAACCTAACCTAAATATGCGGCAGAGGAGATGGTTAGACGTGGTCAAGGATTATGATTGCGAGATCTTGTACCACCCGGGCAAGGCTAATGTGGTAGCCGACGCATTGAGTCGCAGGGCGGAGAGTACTCCCCTGCGAGATGTATGTTTGAGATTGACCGTGATAGCTCCAGTTCTGGATGCCATTCGTGGGGCTCAGGCCGAGGCCATGCGTCCGGAGATGCAGAAGAGAGAGCGGGTTGTTGGGATGGTTTCTGAGTTTATATCGGATAGTCGAGGCCTTATGACTTATCAGGGCAGGATCTGGGTACCGTTTGTGGGTGGTACCCGTGCTACATTGATGGAGGAGGCTCATAGATCGAAATTTTCGATCCACCCCGGGGCCACGAAGATGTATTTGGACCTAAGGAAGGAGTATTGGTGGCCCTGTATGAAGAGGGATGTAGCATGGTTTGTCGAGAGGTGTTTGACCTGTCGAAGGGTAAAGGCCGAACACCAGAGACCGCATGGCAAGTTGCAGCCATTGGAGGTTCCCGAGTGGAAGTGGGAACAGATCACGATGGACTTTATCACCAAATTGCCAAGGACTGTCAGAGGAGTTGATGCAATTTGGGTGATCGTGGATAGGTTGACAAAGAGCGCTCACTTTCTTGCCATCAGTGAGAGTTCTTCAGCGGAGAAGTTGGCGGAGATTTACGTGAGGGAGGTTGTATCTCGGCATGGGGTGCCGATCTCGATTGTTTCAGACCGCGATGTGCGTTTCACTTCCCGTTTTTGGAAGAGATTTCATGAGGAGTTGGGTACTAAGCTGCATTTTAGTACCGCATACCACCCCCAGACCGACGGTCAGAGTGAGCGGACGATACAGACACTCGAGGACATGCTTCGAGCTTGTGTACTGGACTTTGGGGGTAGTTGGGACACGTATTTGCCTTTGGCGGAGTTTTCCTACAATAACAGCTATCATTCGAGCATTGGTATGCCGCCGTTTGAGCTGTTGTATGGTAGGAGGTGTCGGACTCCCATATGTTGGGGAGAGATTGGGCAAAGGGTAATGGGCAGTACAGAGATCGTGAATCAGACGACAGAGCAGATACAGCTGGTCAGGCAGAGGTTACTGACCGCTCAGAGCCGACAGAAGAGTTACGCGGATAGACGCTGGTCCGAGCTGGAATTTCAGGTCGGCGACTTTGTTCTCCTGAAGGTTTCTCCTTGGAAAGGAGTGATCCGGTTCAGGAAGAGGGGCAAATTGGGGCCCCGGTTTATTGGCCCGTTTCGTGTGATTGCCAGGGTAGGCCGGGTAGCCTATCGGCTGGAGTTACCAGTAGAGTTGGGACAGATTCACAACACTTTTCATGTATCGCAATTGAGGAAATGTATAGCCGATGAGTCGGCAGTGGTTCCACTAGAGGATATTCAGGTAGATGCGAGCCTGAATTATGCGGAGAGACCAGTGGCTATTAGGGATCGGAAGATCAAGATTTTGAGGAACAAGGAGGTACCTCTGGTATTGGTTCAGTGGCAACATCGGAAGGGATCAGAGATGACCTGGGAGCCGGAGGGTATGATGCGGGAGCAGCATCCGGAGCTGTTTTAGAGCGGGACCTCGAGGGCGAAGTCCAGTTCTAGTGGGGGAGAGTTGTAACATCTGGATTTTACCAGGTATCTTGTAAGTTTGAATTTTTATATATTGTGAGAGGGACTCGGCGAGTTGGATCTTGTAAGTTTGAATTTTTATATATAGTGTTAATGACGCGTTAGACCTTTATTGCGTGCCCTTAATTTAATGTCTCAAGAAAAAAAAATTAGAAACACGGAGGGCGCTTTATCTTAAACGCGCGTCGTCTGTACATTTCACTTTATAATTTTAATGAAACACACTTTTAGTTAATAAAGGGGGAAACGAAATCCCCAAAATTTTGAAAACCCGCCTTGTTTTTTCTATCTTCTATCTATTTTTGATCCTTGCAATCCAGTCTCCCCTCTGATACTCTCTCCTCTAGATCTCCCTTCGTTCTCTACCTCCCGTCTCTCTGTAAACCTCGAAGGTGAATCGTAATTGATCCGTGAGGTCTCCTTCTTTTTCTTTGTTTTCTCTGGTACGACATCATCCTAATCCATTAACCACTTTCATTTTTCATTAAAAAAACCCTAAATGACTTGGAAAGTTCATGAACCAGATGTAGCACATTCCAAACTGGGGATTTAACCAAACCCAATAGAGCCGTTGACGGAATCTTTGGATCCGGTCAACAAGTACTCTCTGTAATCGCACAGCTTTCTTCACAAGGGATCGCTCCAGGTCTTCAATCTATCTATCTACAATGGCCACTATCAAGTTACATCGAATCAAGGTCTAGGGTTTCAAATGCTTCAAGTTCTTCCCAAATAACTTCCCTCTCAAGACGATTTTCCTCGATCGTATCTTTATGGCGACGATTCTCTCTCGATCGGATCGAAGACCGCTCACTCTCTCCTTAGATGTCCATGCGAGTCTGATCCCCCCTCTCTGTAACACCCTCGCTTCCTTCCAGAAATCGAAGACCATTCTCTCTCGATCGTATCTTTATGGTGAAATTTAGACACAATAATCTCAACATAAAATTGGTAACAGAACTCCTCTTCACCTCTACCCTACTCCATCTACAACGACTCCTCAAATTTACCAACCCTAGTCCAGTTGCGCTTTTAGCCTTGGTCCTTTTTCTTCATCCGTTCAGCAAATAAGGGGAACACGACCTTGATCAGATGGATTGGATAGTGAAGATAACAGGAGTTATTGCCTCGTTGCTAAGCTCTCATGTTCTCGAGAGTGTGAGTAATCTAGTTTGATAAACATATGAAATTTTAAATATTAAATCTCTTGTGTTTATGTTTATGTTTTCAGTGTTTATCTGGTAGTCCTATGGGTAGTAGCCATCATCGATCCGCCAGTGATAGCCTATCCAAACCCCGGCCGCCTATAAGTTATTTGATGAAATGCCTAACAAGATCACCATTTGAACTTGTGAGATGCAAGCTGACTTGTATTACGGTTATTGGCAAATGAACGAGGTATCCATTGACCATTGTTTGCAGCCATTAAAACTCCCAACTAAATTTACTTTTCTGCCCCTCTCTTTCCCCGATACTAAACTATAGGTTTCAATGTGACTTCCTTAATAAAGTTTATATCTTGTAATGTTTTGAACCATGTTTCTTTATCCAAAAACTACAAATTTTAGAGGCTTTGCTTTCGAAGGGTATAACTGTCCCTTCATCCTTTGAAGTTTTGGTTGGAAATCATTCTCTTGTGACATGAGTAGTAGAAAATTGACTTCATTTTCATGTTGATTTGGCAACAGTGTAATGCTTGGACAGGTGAGTTTTTTTAAATAATATTATTATATCTTTAGTAATAGAGTTATGTAAATGGTTAATGGAAAAAATGACAAGAAAATTTCTTCAAATATTTGATGAGAACTGTTGTTTCGGATGAATGGTTACACTTGTAAAATCTAGATTTAATTACTTCATTTGTTTACTAACATTAATACCAATTTCGTTTTGAATTTAGGTGATGTCTACTAGTACTCCTAACCAAGAATTAGTAAATGTGTTCAGTGGGAGAAATCTTATGGATACTTTTAGGTGGAGTTATAAGTACCATGCATTATGATTAATAATTATAAATCACTTGTATTTCCTTAAATTTAGTATAACCTACATATATATGACATTTTAAATGTTTTTGTTTGACTTTTATATGCCTTTGGGTGGCGTCAGCTTTACTGGACTTGCAGACGCCATCCCTGAGTTCATACGGTGCAACCTCGTACCCTGCTACTGAAGTAGATGGGATGCACTGATATTACCCTTCCAAGTCTCTACTCATCAAATTTAGATAAGTAACCTCGATCAATCATGGATTCCATTAACAACGGTGGTGGTGGTGGAGGTGGGAACCACATAATTGATGATTTTGGAAGGCTCTTATAAGTATAAATAATAGTATATATAATCAATTTTATTAATTTCAGCTTCATTTTTTTGTACTTCTTTAACATTCTGATCAAATTAATTTATTTGATTTGGAATTAATTTGTTATAAAAATTCGGACTTGTGTCTTGCGACATATGGCTTCTGAGCTAAACATAAAGATGAGGAAAGATGAGCTAAATTTGAGGGAATATTTTGTTTCATGATTGTCTTTCAAGATGGCCCACTGAAAATTGAAGCTTGGCTTTTGAAGCTTTTCTTTGATTTACAGAAATGTTAACAATTTGCAACCTGTGATAACACTATAAAGATATGAAAAGCAATTAATTTGGCCCATTTTCTTTTACTTAATTACAAAGCTTTCTAAGACTACTCTTGATGACAAGGGAAATTATGTCCTCTGCACATACAAAAGATCAAAGTTTTGGTGTGATTGAAGTGTTTTTGGGGTTACAGGTGCATGGAATGCTATCACAGATGGACCCCGTATTGGTGAGTTATTGTGAAAAAACAACAGAAAACAGGGGCCCACTCACTCTGCCTGAAAAAATTGGTAGATCTGTTCATGTTGCTCAGATGGAAACAACCATGACAAGGGCAAGTTCTCTTCTAAGGAATGTCCAACCAGAAGTCAATGTGGATCAGAGCTATGAAATCATAGCTTAAATGGGGGCCCACGCACTCTCTCCCTTTTCACTAAAATAGAACAACAACTTAATTAGGTTCCTCATTCTCATTCCAATACTTGTTTCTATTATTCTATATTATATGAATATGATTAGTTCAAATCCTAATACTTATTAATAAACCATCAGGGAGAATATGTGATTTTGATATCAAACCACCAAATAGAAGTAGATCCAGCTGTCATCTTCTTAGTGCTTGAAACAACAAATCCCCATATATCTGAATTCTGAAAACATAGTAAGCTTAATCATGGAATACATGATTTAAGAAAGGTTATGAATAGTATACAATCTTCTAACATCCTTCCTATGTTCACATGATATTAAGCTTAATCGTGGAATACATGATGCACTTGCATCTGAAGAGGCTTTCTTCCAAAGCCATCCAGTAGGGCCCAATTGTGAAAAAACAGTATTTTAAAGAAATGGTGGCAATGTTGAGAAGTTGTTAAACCTTTCTTTTTTTAAGAAAGCTAAAGCTCAAGAACTCTCTGCCAAGAAATTATTTGGTGACTTGCCATGACTTTTGCATTGTGTCAAAGCCCCCCAGGTATGCATCCACCGTATAAATTATAAAACTGTATTTTCCCATTTATTTATATATAATTCATAAATATCTATCTACAGCCAAAAGATGTTGCCCAACTAGCACTTAAAAAGATGCCTTCAGCCGAGCAAGAAACCATATCAATGGTTACAAGAAGCATTATTGTTTTTTTTATTTTCTTTTCTAATTATAGGTTTTGTGTGTCTAATTCTTTTTTCTTGTCGATGATGATAAACAGAGTGAGTATCAGCGAGGTGTTGGTGCTTGGAATTTTGACCTTGAAGATTTAAAATTCAAAGCATCCTTGGTAGTCATCTTAATTATCGTAGATCTTGTTTTTTCTTTTTCAAATTTAAATCCTTTATATGGTAACTGTTAAATAATTGACTATAACTGAAATGTTCGATTGTTCATATTCAACGGAGGTGCAAGATGACGACGAAATTCAAGATATCACTACTAGAAAACTTCCCTTTAATGACACGCAAACAATGACACACAGTGATTTACGATACGCATTTTTTGGGTGTCCAAAAAATAACGTCCGTTTGTAGAAAAATGAAAGATAGTGGACACGCATTTTTGCGAGCCCTTAAATTAGTGTCCAATAAAAAAAAATTATAAACACGGAGGGCACTTATTTAAAATGGGTTTCATGTAGAGATGTCTCTTTATATTTTTTAAATGAAACGCGGTCGGGGAGGGGGGTGGGGGTGGAAATGAAAATTTTGAAATGCCACCATGTTTATCTCGAAAAGTTTGAAAGGCCGCCATGTTCATCCTCTGCCTTATTTCCATCGGTCTTCTCTCTCTCTCTCTATCTCTCTCTCTCTCTCTCTCTCTCTCTTTCTCACTCTCTCTCTCAAATACCTAAAAAAACCCTAATATCATCGCCAATCGTCTTTACGGATCTCTGGTTGTCGAAGTTTGTTCTCGATTTCACTTGGAGAAATTACCTTCGTCTTGCAGTTCTACATCCTCATCAAAACCTCCCAAGATCAGATCCCCGAGTAGGGGTGCAGTCACTCTTCTAGCACTCAGAAACGACACTCCTGATGTATTCCCATCTATCGCAGCCGTCGGTGGCGGTAACCCCCGAACAGGATTCGACGCGATTTTATCTGTCGAGACTTTAGTTTCAGCTCTCGTTGTTGGTTTCGTTGCGATCTATGCAACTCCCTTTGCCGTCTCCCCTGCGCCTTTTGTAAGGGATGTGTTGTTTTATCTGACGGCGACGTTGGGGGTGGATAGTGGTGGGAAATTGAAGTGTGATGGTTGTGAAGTTCAGAATGAAACAGATTCTATCAATCTACTAACATCACACTATGTCCTCTCACTCTAATGTACTCCTGCAAATCTTATATCCCTCTAAATCATCCGATTTCGTTTCTCTTTCCTAACATCCATCTCCCTCTCTGGTTAATGGTAGTCTTTAGGACCTCGTGACTATCACTAGTCCATTACATAGTCGAAAAGAAGCCCCTAAAACATAGCAACTACCAGTAGTTCTAACGGGATTCATCATGAGTGTGTGTTGGATTTTTTTCCATGTGATTCTGATAATTATTGTATCTTCAAAATTTTCTGATTCAAAATTTTGGATATAAAATTTGATTAATTAACATCTATTTTGTAGGAATTGTCACTCATCCTCTTGTTCTACTTCTTTATAAGATTGAGGAAGGAAAAGAATATGCAAAGTTTGCTCACATTCTACGAAAGTGGTTCACTGTTTTTGGTATTATGACTAAAAAGCTTATGATCCTTTTGTAATTCTCAATCTCTCTGCATAATCTTCTTATAAGTTTATATACCTTTGTAGCTGCTTTGAGGAAGGAGTTTGCTAATGAAACTGACAGAGTGACAGGTCATACCAAACATATTTCATCTGCTCCTATGTATCTCAGTATCTATTCTCCAAATGGTAATATGCAATTATAAACAAAAGATGTTTCATGAACATCAAATGTTTGAAAACATAATAAGTTATTAATAAATCTATTATGTCTAAATTTCTGATCTTTTATAATAAGTTACCAAACAGATTTCATCCGGATAGAGATAACAAGTCTCCTGATTTATTTGATATAACATCGGATTTATCATTGGTGTGTAAAGCTTGTTCTTCATTTTACTAAAGTACACCTTTAAGTTTACTATCTGGATTCTCTCTGATTCTATCCATGTCATCTTTGAGCAGATTATTGCTTCAGGCCCTTACACCACGACTGGCAACTTATTCTTTGAGCCACTTTCTGATCTTCTTGCATATGCACAAATAAAGCAGCCTCAGTTGCTTATACTAGTGAGAATTTACAATTCTAAACCTGTAACTGTTAAAAATCAAAACCACTCTAAACTAACAATCATTGTATTTAACTCATTAATAGTTAGAGCCTTTCATTGATTCGGAGCACCCTAAGATCAAGAAAGGAGCTTTAAAGAGGACCTATGATGATTTATTCCGTCTTGAAATCTTTAGGAGGGTATAATCGTCTAAAATGCTCCTTTATTTTTACCTGTAACACTTTTATTTCCAGTTTTTCCCTTGATTTTTTATATATCAATTGTTCCTCAGCTTCAAGATTATGTGGAATATATGGCTCTGCTGCACGTGATTCTTGTGCCATCTATACATGATGCACATCATGACTATGTATTTCCTCAAGTAAATTTATCATTTTATGGTTAATGAAAGAAATATTCATAAATATTACAGTAAGTTACATGTTGGTCCCTGAGTCAAGCAAATGCAGCCATGGTAATTTTTTACTTAAATTTTTTGTTACCCGTGATGTAAAATGATGTATATGCCCTTACAGGGGGATGCAGGTTACCAAGATGTAATAGACTGCTCATATGCCCTTTCTAATGTATGTAAAGTGTAAACCTCATTATGTTCATTTATTTCTATTTACACAATGAAAATAATACTGATAATTCACAATTTTACAGTTACTTCAAGTAAGCCCATATGAAATCTTGATAAAATAAACTGAGGTAATTGGTCAACGAAAAAAGAAGGTAAATAACATAGCAAATTCATTTATAGTCAATTTCTTTACCACTTGTTTAACTTATCATATTATGTGTAGGAGCCTCTTCTTAATTCACTTACTAAGTTAATTAGTTTGCTTTCATCAAGTGTCAAGTGGTAATGTTGTAATTTGTAACTCCTTGTATTCCTTTCCTTTAAATGTTAAATTAATTATCAATTCTACTTTCG